TTTTTTTTTTTTTTTTTTTGGTACCGGGGATCGAACTTGGGTCCTTGCGCTTGCCAGGCAGGTGGCGGAACCACTGAGCTAAATCCCAGCCCCCCTCCCCAGCTTCTTAATGAGATGAATTCTTGGATTATCCATCATGAAAGATGTGATGGACGTGCAACAGGAAGAGAACCAATTTTCACTTTGCCTTTAAGTCAGAATGCAGCCTGTTTGACAATTTAAACATCTTAGCTCAGCATTTGGTTCTTATTTCATTTGTGATCAAAGATCTTTAATGTGGAATTAATCCCACCACTTACTATAAGTTAGTTTAGCTTCTTACCAATTCTTTAAGCTGTTTCTATTTCCTTTTATTTTTTACAGTACTGGAGATTGAATCCAGGACCTACCCACTGAGTTATATTATAGTCCCAGCCCTTTTTGTATATTAAAATTTTGAGAGATGGTCTCACTAAGTGGCCAAGCTGCTCAGACTGAGCTGGAACTTGGAATCCTCCTTCCTCTGCCTCCCAGAGTGCTGGGATTACAAGTGTGCAATGCTATGCCTATAGTTCCTTGATTTCATTTCTCTTTTTTTTTTTGAGACATGGTTTTGCTATGGAGTTTCAGGCTGCTGAGTGCTGGGATTACAAGTTTATGTCACTCTCCCAGCTCGTTTTTCTGTTTCTTAGAAATGAAAAAAACAGACTTTAGACAGTAAGTGCTGTACAAAAATGAAGCATGGTATTTGAACCATGATCCATGAAAAGAAATAGGAACCTTAAGCAGAAATCTAACAGAACATTGAAGGAGCAGGAACACTCGGAAGGTTAATCATCCAGTAAAATACATAGGTATTTTTAAGACTTTCAGAAGTTACTAGGTAAGTCCTACTGGATCTCATTAGGAAGTTACCAATTTGGGCCAGGGATTTAGCTCAGTGGCACCCTGTCTTGCAAGCACAAGGTCCTGAGTTTGAACCCCAGTACCAAAAAAAGAAAGTTACCAATTTGAGATGCCGCCTGATTGATACCTGTAGAATACTGTGCTCTTAGAACCTGGAAAGGAGCAAGTGAGTATATCATGTGGTAATTTTCACATCAAGAATTGGGGCTGGGGATTTAGCTCAGTGGCACAGTGCCTGAGTTCGAACCTCAGTAACCCCCCCGCCAAAAAGGAATTGAAGAGCTGGGGATTTAGTTCCGTGGTTCCGGCGCCTGCCTCACAAGCGCAAGGACCTGAGTTTGATCCTTGGTACCCCCCCAAAAAAAGTGTCTAAAAAAAGGAATTGAGTTTACTCTGTGCATTGATTGCCATGTGTATTACAGAGACTTCTTTAGAGAGAGGAGTAGCACTTTGACCCAAAACACACATTTCAGTCTTCTAATCATACCCCTGGTGATGTGGTTCCTTATGAGTTACTATGCATTTTCTTGAGTAGATTTTCTCTAAAATACATCCTATATACTTATACTTTTTTTTTTTAAACTGGAGATGAGTCCAGGGGTTTACACTATTTTTGTTTTTTTGGTTTTGAAGACAGAGTCTTGCTATTTAGTTCAGGCTGAACTCATTTTGTAGCCCAGGCTGGCCTCGAACTGAGAGCAATCCTCCTGCCTCAGCTTCCTAAGTGCTGGGACTATAGGCGAGTACTACCATGCCCAGCATTCAGAAGTTTATTCTGCTATTCTACCTTTGAGTAACCTCCCCATCCCTTTTGTTTTGAGACAGTCTTTTTTTTGTTTGTTTTGTGGTTTATTTGTACTGGGGATTGAACTCAGGTCCTTGTGCTTGTGAGCCAGGCGCTGGAACTACTGAGCTAAATCCCTGACCCTGTTTTGGGTTTTTTTAGACATGGTTTCACTTGTAATTCAGACTGGCCTCAAACTCAGGATGATCTTCCTACCTCAGCCTTACTAGTGCTGGCATTACAGGTGTGCACCACCATGCTTGGTTTGAGAAAGTCTTGCTGAATTGCCTATGCTGGCCTCAGATTTGCAAAACTCTTTATCTTCTTGCCTCAGTCTCTGAAGCAGCTGGAATAACAGGTATGTACCACTGTGTGTGGCCCTTATAAAAATTTTAATAACAAAATTGAGTTTAGAAATAGTAGCTTGAACTTAAACTCACTGTTACTGCCTTTTACCCTGATGTATAAAAACTTGAGCCTTCCTCAAAGTATGCTGTGACTTTTCTGAGACTGCCAGGAATAGAAAAATTAAATTTATTTTTAGTATACCAGTAAAAAAGAGTGTGACAACCAAGTGGAATAATTCTTTTCAAACTTTTTACTGACACCTATTTTGGGTTGAATAGCAAGCTGACTAGATACAGATAGGACAGCACTGTCTTATCTCAGTCTTTTTTTTGGGGGGGTACCCGGGATTGAAATTGGGACCTTCTGCTTGTGAGGCAGATGGTGGCACCACTGAGCTAAATCCCGGCCTTTATCTCACTCTTTTTTATGAGGTTTTGTTTTTTTGTTTTTTTGGTTTTGGTACTGGTGATCGAATTTGGGTCCTTGTGCTTGCAAGGCAAGCGGTGGCACCACTGAGCCAAATCCCTGGCCCCTATCTCACTCTTAATAATGTGTGTATGATGGACTCCCTGAAAAGACTTGGCTTATATAATTGCTCTTGGTCTTGAACCTTCCTAATCACCATTCTTTGAAAAACAATTCTATTTAAATACCCTTTCAACTTTAGATGTTATGAACTGCTGCTGCATCTGTGTTCTAATAAATATTTTCTAAGAAAAAACACATTTGACATGGCATTTTTAAGAATTCAGTATCTTGTTTCCTTGACAGAGGGATGCTATTTGTGTCTGAATTTGGCAGTCTTTTAAATGCCATGTCTTTTTTGGAAAAAGCTTTTGATGGACTTTATTTTGAAATATGACTTAGGGCCTCTGGACCTTTGCTTTAATCAGAGAATACCAAAGAGAGTCATTATGAACATATATTGTAGTTCTGACAGGGATTGGGATCCTCTGGGGTTTTTTTTTGTGTGTGTCTACACCAAATGGCTCTAGCCTGCTATGTTTTGAGGTTTTTCTGCTGACTTTATAGGTCTTCAGCTTTGATTTTGATGCTTTAAGTGCCTGCCTGTAGAAGCACCACCCCCGGCCCTTTTCCAGTTGGCTGCATATCATCTGTTGTGGGCTAAGAAACGAGATCACAGAGCTTATTAAAATTGTGTCTAAAATAAGACTCAGTGGGCTCTGAGTGAAGAGGGCTTCATGTGTTCTGTGAACTGTGTGGTCTCTGACTGATCAGAGAACTCTATGACTTACTTCCTGTTTTTCCTTTTGTTACACAGATACAGGAGGCTCTTTTGTAAGTGCCACAACATTGATATATGGGATTGATTTCTCTATTCTTGGGAAAAGGGTAAATATCTTGATTCTTTGAGGAGTTGAAGAGTTAGAATTATTACTTTTTTAAAAAATAATAAAAGTGTCAGTCTTGGTAGTACATGCTTGTAATCTCACTACTCCGAAGGCCAAGGCAGGAAGATAGCCTCAAATTTGAGGCTAGCCTGTATTATATAGTGAGTTCAGAGCCATCTGGAATATATAGTCAGGCCCTGTCTCAAAAAAAAAAAAAAAAAAAACAAA